AGTACACATATTGTTTTATGACATTGGTTAACAACCCCACGACATGTCAACACTCCTCCTTCTCAACCTTGAGGACCTTTTTTTTGGTGAAAATATACATAGCCAAAGCTACACTATTTCAAAAGTTTCTACATGTACAATTCAGTGACATCAATGACATTCTTCCAGTTGTGCTGCTATTCTCACTATCCTTTTGCAAATTATTCCATCACCAGTATCTTCAACTTACTGTCCCCTAGGCTTCCCATCAAACCTTTTGAGTTGCTATTGTCAATTTGATCTCACATAGATAATTCTTCTATTTTTTTATACCTTAGATGAACGTTTGCAGAACAAATAGTTTCTCATTAAACAGTTAGTACACATACTGCCCTGTGACAATGGTTAACAACACCACGACACATCAACAGTGTCCCTTCTCAACCTTGGGTTCCCTATGACCGGCTTTCCTGTCCCCTCCTGCCTTCTAGTCCTTGTCCCTGGACTGCTGTGCCTCATTAGTCCTGTTTTGTTCTATGAGGCTGTCCAATCCCCAGCTGAATGATGAATTTCAGGAGGGGCTTCACCACTGAGCTGAAAGGGTGTCCAGGGGCCATACTCTTGGGGTTTCTCCAGTCTGTCAGGCCAGTAAATCTGGTCTTTTTGTGTGTGTGTGTGAGTTAGGATTCTGTTTCACCATCCTTGTTTTTAAAGAGTATTCTGACTGTACTTCTTCCAAGACAGTTTTGTTTGTTCTTCTGGCAGCCCATTGTATATTCAGTAGTCTTCGCCAATACCATAATTCAAAGGCATCAATTCTTCTTTGGTCTTTCTTATTCATTGTCCAACTTTCACATGCATATGAGGTGATTGACAATATCATGGCTTAGGTCAGGAACACCTTAGTTCTCAAAGTGACATCTTTGCTTATTAGCACCTTAAAGAGGTCTTTTGCAGCATACCTGGCACTACCTACCACACGCCAGTGTCACCCCCTCCCAGTTGTAACACCCAAATATACTGAATGTAAAAAAAAAAAAAATCAAACCCATTGTCATTGAGTTGATTCCAACTCATAGCCAACTGTATGAAACCGAAACCATAGGGTTTCCAAGGAACAGCTGGTGGATTCAAACTGCCAACCTTTTGGTTAGCAGCTGAGGTCTTAACCACTGCTCTACCAAGGCTCCAGACTAAATGTACACACCTTCAAAAATATACTTAAGAAGATCTGACAGGACAAACAAGGCGCATTTACCAAATACTAGCTGAGAAATTAGAATCAGAAAAGGTAAATCTTAAGGAGGAATTTTGAAGAAATCGCTTCATGACTTTTCTCAGGTCATATTATTATTCAGATTTTATGTGAATACCTTAAAGTATAAAAGGGAAAAGATAATAATGTGACTAGTTGACTACCTCGGTTTAAGGTTCAGACTTCACTAAATTCACCAGAGTGAACTAATGTGTTCCTGAAATGTTTGCTATAAGCAAGATCTAAGTTATATTTTTCCCGTTGACTTCTGCAGCAGCTGTAGAAATGGGAGTGACTGATAAATGGGTACAGAATTTCCTTTAGGGGTGATGAGAAAGTTCTGAAATTAAAGAATGGTGATGGCTGCAAATACAGTCATGCGTTGCTTAACGTCCACGATGTGTTCTGTGAAACAGGACGTTACATGATTTGAACCTTGTGCAAACACTCTGTTACTTAGCAAAGTGTATATGCTTCCTCAACCACTGTCCTGCTCTCCGGTCCTCCTAATTCAGTGGCTTCTCCAGAATGCCCCTTCGAGCCCTCTTCTCTGGTCCCAAATCCCCGACTCCATGCCCTTTCTTAAACCCTCCCGCAGCCTCTGCCTCTTGGTCCCTTCCCCTGCACTCCACCTTCCCAAGCCCAGCATTCCGCCAGAGTCTGGCTACACTAACCCACTTGGGAAGAGCAGGAGCTGCAGCTGTTCAACCACTCAGCATGACTTGTCAAAGTTCACCGACCTCCGATAACTTGTCCCCATTTTTAGGGGACTCCCTGCTCCCTTCCCCCTCTTCCCTTCATCCTCCCTCTGCTCCTTTCTTCCTGGATCCAGACAAGTGTATATACTTAGCCGTATACACCATATAGACTTAGCAAAGCTGTATGGGACCACGGACGTATACGCAGTGGGACGTTGCCCTAACGGACGTCATGCAGTGCATGACTATATTGTGACTCTACTTAACGCCATCGAATAGTGTACTTTAAAACGGCTAAAGCGAGTAATCTTCATATTAGGTATATTTTACCACAATTAAAAAAAAAAAAAAAGACACTTAAGAAAATGAAAAGACAATCCACAGTCTGGGAGAAACTATTTGCAAAACACATATTTGATAAAGGACTTGTTTTCAGAATATATACAGAACTCTCAGAACTCAATAATAAGAAAATAAATAACTCAATAAAAATGGGCAGAAGATCTGGACACTTCACCAAAGGAGAGATACGTGTGGCAAATAAACACAGGAACAGATGCATAAGAACTACCACCAAACTCCATTAAAAAAAATATCCTCATTTTCGCTGAGCTTTCCATCAATCTCATCGCCACTGTCCAAATTCCTAAAATATTAACAATGTCCTCTCCATGTTTTCTCATCTAACTCACTAAAATTTCCTGTCTACCTCCACTTCTTTATTAAAACTGTTCTCAGGGAAGATCATCTAGTGCCAAATCCAAAGCTTCTTTTTATTTCTTACCATAATTAATCTCTAACCTAATTTGACACTGGGCACATACTCCTTCTTGGCTCTCTCCTTCATGGCCTTTATGTCAACATTTTTAGTTCCCTGATCTTTCTGAATGCTCTAAGTTCTCTTATCCTAATCTTAGTTTTAATACTATGGAAACACTGAAATTTCCCACATTTAGATCTTCAGCCCAAACTTCTCTCTCAGGTTATTTACCAGTGTCTACAATGGCCTATGATTGCAATAGTGGTTCAGTGGTAGACTTCTTGCCTTCCATGTGGGAGACCTGGGTTTGATTCCACCAACGCACCTCAAGCTCAGCCACCACTCATCTGTCAGTGGAGGCTTGTGTGTCACTATGATGTTGAACAGGTTTCAGCAGAGCTTCCAGACTAAGATAGACTGGGAAGAAAGGCCTGGCAACCTACTTTCAAAAATAAGCCAATGAAAACCCTATGGATCACAACGGTCTGATTCTGTTGTGTATGGGGTCCACATGGGATCGGGATGAGGTTGCCATGAGTTGGGGGCTGACCTGAGGACGCTAACAACAGCAACAATTGACCTACAAGACTGTTCTCTCTGGACATACTGTGAACCCCACCAACTAAATATGCCCAAAACATAATTTATTACCTCCCCCATCCCCACATTCCTCCTCTTTTTGAATGCTCAATTAATGCCATTATTTACCTGGTCAGCAAAAAGAGCCATGGGAGTCATTTTTCATGCTCTTAGATCCTTAAACTCCCACACAGGTTGCTTACTGCACAATCCTGGAGACACCATTGCTTTATTGGTCACAATGACCTATCAGATCTGCCACCACAATAGCTCTCAATTCTGTTTCCGCCACTCTGTTCTTACTGCCTTTACTTTGCCTCAGGTCCTCATCAACTCTTGATTTTAAATAGCTTCATAAATGGACTCTTCATGTTCAGTCAACTCTCAACACAATAACTAGAATTATCTTTCCAAAATCTAATTTGGTTCTGTTATTTTTCTGTTGAACAATCTTCGATATCTCTTCATTACCTTCAAGATAAAGATTGAACTACTTAGCCCATTCCATTCTGGCACTGACCTAATTTTCCGCTCCAATCCTACTTCCCTCAACCTTGGGAAACAGCTTTCCATTCCCAAAATATCCACCTTACTTTTGTATTCTGTTCTCTGTGCTTGAAATGGTTTCCCACCCCCTTGTCTTCACAGCTTAGAAAATTATTGTTACTGTTATTAGCTGCCGTAGAGTTGACCCTGACTCCTGGCAACCTTACTGTATTAACAGAAGGAGACGTCTTCTGGTCCTGCGCCATCTTACTAATCATTGAAACCCAACTGACAGCCATTTCTTCTGTGAGGGCTTCAAAGACAGTCTTATTCAGATAATCCAGTGTTTCTCAACCCTGGGTGCTCCTTATAATTGGGAGCTTTAAAAAATATCAATGCCCAGCTCCCACAGAGATTCTGATTTAATTGTCTAGGATGAGACTAAGTATAGAAATATTTGAAATGGTCCCCCATTTTAAGTGCTAGGTACTCAGATACAAAAATCGAAAAAGCAGATCAAGATTTCTGACTTCAAGAAGTTCACTGTAGAGGAAACAAGTGATTTTTCATTTACAATAGAAGAGAGCACAAGGAGTGAAAAGAAATGCATACTGAACAAATAAAAGTGAGGGGAAGGGGAGGAAGGGTATGCCAGGAAAGGCCCCAGTGGATGCCTGTTGTTGTTGTTGAGTTGGTTTCAACTAGAAATAAATCAAATATTTGGTAGTTTTTTACTCGCTTGTGGAATCTTGCTAAACCAATGAACAACAGTTCAAAAGAGTTGATCTGTATTTAATCACTGTAAACAACAGAACAAAGAAGCTGATCTATAATTAATCACCATTTATCATGCCCAAAACAATGCCTGGCACATGATAGATACTCAAAAACATGCTGTTTGATTTAATGAATGAATGAATAGTAGCATTTAAACTTTCTTTTCTTAAAAAGCAGGTTTATAATCAATATCAATGTTGGTGGCAAATTAAAACTAAATATCATATTTCTGATGTCTTAAAATTTTTGACAAATAAAGTATGAATATGTGTTCTACTTCTTGGAGGAGGAAAATAATTTTAAATTAAGCTGAGAAAAAAGTACTGACAAAGCAGTTCATTTTAAGTAATCTGGGTTTTCCCAAATAGTGACACGAGAGCCAGTCATTTCAAACTGGACTGTTTGAGTTTCTCTTTAAGAATCTGAAATGTAGGTCAGGGCTCTGCTGACATTTCCATTTGCTCATAGCTGAAAATCAGAAGTAATCATTGACAGACAGACAGCAGGGAAAGAAGACTGTGACACAGCCAACAAGAGCAGCAGCCTGGCTCTGAAGAGGCATTATGTGCTTCAAACAGGCAGAAAGGTAAAGAGACAATGATCATCCAATACTTAAAGATAGCTCTGTTTCCTTTTGGAAATATGTGGGCCAAGTTGTTTTCTCCTGTAAGTTCTAATGATATTTCATGCAGTGGCTACTGAGGAAAGTTGAATCTCTAATACTGCTTGACATCACTTTAAATAACAATTACAGCATATATCCTATTAAAATGATGTCAAATGATATTAGAGATTCAACTTTCATCAGTGCATGAAATATCACTAGAACTTATAAGAGAAAGCAACTTGGTGGGCAGTGGTTAAGAGCTCAGCTGCTAATCAAAAGGTCGGCAGTCGGAATCCACCAGCCACTTCTTGGAAACCCTATGGTGCAGTTTTATTCTGTCCTATAGGGTCACTATGAGTCGGAATCAACTTGATGGCAACGGGCTTGGCTTGCGTATTAATTATAAAGAGAAGACCTATTGTTGCTAACAAATTGTGAAAGCGAACTCTATGTGCATAAGCTATGGGGTACCCAGTTTTTAATATTTCATCAGATATTGTATGCTATTTGATAAGCCGTGAGTTTTGTTTTATTGCTATTGTTTTATATGAGAGATTCAAGCTCAGGTTTTCTTAAATAAATATAACTAAATAGTGTTGATTATTAAATATTGGATCACTATGAGTCAGAATTGACTGATGGCAATGGGTTATTAAATAATCAAATTATTCAATAGAATAACAAACTGAATAATGTAACTCCAGTTGTAAATTAAGGGCAATATCGTTTTATATTTCTATAATGTGTCTCTTGAGATTTCTACAGGTAAAAGGGTTTTCTGTAAGTTTAACTGATGATAGTACATAAACTTTGTCTCACTTGATCTTTCCTCATTTTGAATCCTTTCCCTCTGGAAGTTCTGGAATTTTTGTTTTTTCTCACCAAAGACTGGTATTTCTAGAGATGTATAATTATAGGCCTGTAACTCTGGTCAAGAGAAGAATTCATCGTCAGAAGTTAGAGAAGGAGAGGATTTCTAATGAGAAAGACTGATTTTTAGGAGAAATACTTTAAGTAGGGTCAATATGTCCTGCTAAGATAATTCATAGTGATTTTTCAAGGTTTGAAATTCCATTTTCTTGCTTTACTTATCCACTTCTTATCAAACCTCCTCATACGCTAGTGACATTCTTTCCTTCCTTCCTTTCCTCTGTGCTAAACAAATGTTCTCATTAAAGAGAATAATAACTTACAGGAAAAAATGTAATGATTTTTATTATTTGATTGTTATTCTATTATATTAATACAATTTTAACATTTTTCAGTTTTTTTTCAGAGAGAAATAAACGGCTTTTTTTCTCCTTTCAGGCATGAATCAGGTCACAGTTCAATGGGATGCGGTACTAGCTCTTTACCTACTCTTCAACTGGTGTCATGGAGGTATGGTATTTTGTGTATCTATCTTTATCATTTATTCAGCAAGTAAAACACTGAATGTTTACTATCATCAAGGCATTATGCTAGGACCTCTGAAGAATACAAAAATGATTAGACTCGGAAAAATTGAATCCACGTAAAACTTAGACGAAACGAGATAAAATAGGTCCACCCTTACTCCATATGCAGGGTTCCTTTCTAAAACATCCCTGATGGACAGCCCGCTAACCCTTATATGAGCATTTCCATAAAGGAACTTATTACTTTGAGTTCTCATGTTCTATCTTTGAACTATTTTAACTGTTGTAAGATAACCCATCAAAAGTTTGAATTTAATTCAACAAGTCTTTTATTAATGATTGCTACGTACCTGTCACTGTGCTAGGCCTTTTATTCCTCAAACAACCTGGTGCAGTACTGTTATGTGCTATTAGTATTTCTATTTTATAATTCACACAAACATCTGGCACCATGAAGTAACACAGAGTCCTGAGAGACAGGGATAAGCAGCTTTGAGAAATCCAGGAAGTGAATCATCAGAAGTGATGGCAGGGCAGCCGTTGGCATTTGAGAGTTTCTTTTGGGGCTAACAGGAGTTCCTGGGTGGTGCAAATGGTCAACGTGCTTGGCTGCTAACCGAAAGGTTGGAGGTTCAAGTCCACCCAGAGGTGCCTTGGAAGAAAGGCTTGGCAATCTATTTCTAAAAGTCCATCATTGAAAACCCTATGGAGCACAATTCTATGCTGGCACACATGGGGTCACCGTGAGCTGGAGTCGACTGGACGTTAACTGATTTTTTTAAATAATGTCCCGCAGAGGAAGCAGCGACTCAATCATTGGTACACAAGCAACAACAAGGTAGGGTTGCAGACCTTCAAGAGAGTTTTGCAGATCATTCAAGTTTCTCAGACTAGTGACAAAAGCAAAACCCTCTTCTATAGGTTGGGACACAGTTATACTGGAGACGGAGATGTAGCCCCATTATCAGAATCGGGACTCTTCCAGCAGGATGGTCTAGAACACTTCCCAAGTCAGACTAACAACTATCCAAGAAGGCTCAAGGGAAATAAGATACTAGATACCTTTCCCAGATTCTTGAAATCTGGAAATTATAAATAGGAATTCTGTTTATACATTCAAGTGATTGGTATAGAGCCATAGAGCAACAAGACAAGCCCCTGTGACATGACATTACAGACCTTACAGGGGTCCATTAGGAATCATTTTATATATTGTTGTTCAAACTGCTATGAATATTTTTCGTATTATCCAGGATACATTTCTTTCTAAGTTTTCTACTAGAATATATCACTGCTTTTCAACAAAAATGCTATGTTTAGCATTCCTATGAACAATTAGTAATCCTACTAAAAACGAAAATTTGTGTATTGTAGTATGGCTTATGCAATCCATGTTGACTCCTATTGATCCATGACTTTTTTCCATGTGCTGAAAAGTCATTAACTTATTAATCCATTCCTGAATGTTGTGAAGCTTGGTGTTCCAGAGTTTCTGAGGTTCTTCTTTCTTTCATTTTTGAAAACCAGGACAACATCTGCCCAAATCTAGTCTTTTGACATCTTTACCATTCCATGTATTCTCAAAGACTACTCACAGTGGTTCCATGCTAGAGTCCACATATTTAAGGTGTTGGAGATGCAGTTTATCTAAACTTGAATTATTGGACTTATTTAAAGTAGCCAGGTGCTTTCTTAAAATTTCTTTTTATGTCTATGGCTGCAATTCCCTATTGATGATGATGGAATTAGTTTGATAGCTGTTGATAGATTGTTGTTGTTGTGTGCCGTCGAGTCCATTCCAACTCATAGTGACCCTATATGACAGAGTAGAACCACTCCATAGGGTTTTCTAGGCTGTAATCTTTACAGAGGCAGATCACCAGGTCTTTTCTCCCGCAGAGTCGCTGGTGGGTTTAAACCACCCACCTTTCAGTTAGCAGCCAAGTGCTTAACCACTGCATCACCAGGGCTCCTTACTTCAACATTTCAGTGTTTATAATTCACATGTAAACATTTATTACATAAGTGGGAATATTCAATCACATTTAGATTATACAAGTTAATTCTTTAAACTTTGTATTCCAAAGACAAGGAGCTTTTTTTTTTTCCCCTAAATCAAATGCTGAACTTTACTTACCACTATTTTGTTAAGGTTTTAAAATATTTAATGTAGAATGGAGTTTGGATTCCCAGTGCTCATGGTAATTTCTGATCTTACCTTTGAAAATGGTTTAGCCCAATAACACCCCAGTTCTCCATTTTAAAATAGGAGAGCTAATTATATTTGCTCTTTCAATAATTAGGGAAGCTTAAAGGTTGAATCTAGTCTTGTGTTATACTGCTGAAGGCCACCAGACGCATGATAAAAATACACTGTGATTAACTAATCAATTGAAAAAATACACTTCATTCTAAAACTGTTTCTTTCAATGGAAATCATGTAATTAATAGAAAAGAATACATTTAAAATGCAACAGCATATTCTTTCTGAATATTCTGTTTTAATGATTTACATAGAATTTATTATTTTATCATTTTATTTCCAGGAATTACAAATATAAACTGCTCTGGCCACATCTGGGTAGAACCAGCCACAATTTTTAAGATGGGTACAAATATTTCTATATATTGCCAAGCAGCAATTAAGAACTGTCAACCAAGGAAACTTTATTTTTATAAGAATGGCATCAAAGAAATATTTCAAGTGACAAGGATAAATAAAACAACAGCTCGACTTTGGTATAAAAACTTTCTGGAACCACACGCCTCTATCTACTGCACGGCTGAATGCCCTGGATTTTTTCAAGAGACACTGATATGTGGAAAAGACATTTCTTCTGGATGTAAGTGTTGAGCTGCATTCAAAATCCAAATGAAAGCTAGTCTAATGATTAACTGAAAATTACGTCTTGTCTGAAACAGAGTCACACTGATATTGTTCACGTCTTACATTTGTTTAATATTAAAAAAACAACAATAAAACAAACCCATTGCCATCCAGTCCAACTCAAAGCAGACTGCCACATCTTTCTCCCATGGAGTGGCTGATGGGTTTGAACTGCCGACCTTTTCGTTAGAAGCCAAGCGCTTTACCACTGCACCATCAGGGCTCTTTTTGGCTTAATATAAGGGTTACAAACTTAAATATCTTCAGGGACCAGGTTGGTGAGTTAAGGATGTGGGTGGGAATTGTGCAGAAAGGAAAGTATATATTTGGTCTACTATGCAACTTTAACATTTATGAGGGTCCAGTACTCCTATATCTTTTTATTCTTCAAAAGAAGTAAAAAATCTGAGTTTTTAATGTAAAATATCCAAATTATAAAATACTGTCAATGCAATCAAAGAAATAATTTTTGAATCCTGTTGTTGGGTGTCATCAAGTCGATTCTGACTCATAGCAACCCTACATAACAGAGTAGAATTTCCCATGGGATTTTCTAGACTATAATCTTTACAGAAGGAGCCCTAGTGGTGCAGTGGTTAAAGTACTTGGCTGCTAACCAAAAGGTCAGTGGTTCAAACCCACCAGTTTCTCCGTGGCAGAAAGTTGTGGCAGTCTATGTCAGTAAAGATTACAGCCTTGGAAACCTTATGGGGCAGTTCTACTCTGTCCATTAGGGTCACTATGAGTCTGAATTGACTCGATGTCAATGGATTTGGAATCTTTGTTGTTGGTAGGTGCTGTTGAGTTGGTTCTGACTCATAGTGAGTGACACTGTGTACAACACAAGGAAACAGTGCCCGGTCCTGTGCCATCCTCACAACTGTTGCTGTGTTTGAGCCCATTGTTGCAGCCACTGTGTCAATTCATCTTGTTGAGGGTCTTCCTCTTTTACGCTGACCCTCTACTTTACCAAGCCTGATGTCCTTCTCCAGGGACTGGTCCATCTCTGATAACACGTCCAAAGTATGTATGCTCATGTGGAACATGTACATAGACCAAGAGGCAGTCGTTTGAGCAGAACAAGGGGATACTGTGTGGTTTAAAATCAGGAAGGGTGTGTGTCAGGGTTGTATCCTTTCATCGTACTTATTTGATATTGGAATCTTTACCAGAGCAGATCTCTAGTTCTTTTCTCCTGAGGAGCCACTAGCTGGATCCAAATTGCAGAGCTTTCAATTAGCAGCTGAGCGCATTTTGAAACACTAGCCTGGCTAACCAGGGCATATCTGAGCCCTACCTCAGTACCCTCAGATTTAAAATGTGGCTGTTTTCATTTGTTTTTCACTTTTTTGTGTGTTTGTTTGTCTTCTGAATTAATATTATCAACCTTGAAGTGGTTCCCATTGAGAAATTTTGACATTAAGATTTAGTGAGAAAAACTGTTACAGACCTAGCTGTGTGTCCCTGCTATGCTCCTCACCAGCTGTGTGACTTTGGACAAGTTGCTTTAAACAGTCTGAGTCACAATTCCCTGTCTGTAAAATAAGGCTAATAATACTGGCTGCAGAAAGCGACAAATTTCAATAATTTTTTGAAAGCAAATTATGCATCCTTTTTATAAAACATGAGGAGATTCTGACACAGTCTCTGGCTCCTAATCCCACTGTCCCCACTGGGAATTCCTGTGTCTGTTACTGTAATTATTAATTAAGAAAAAGTTTAGTCAAGGTGATGTTAAAAATGTACGCTAAATTCAATTTGCCTTCATAGTATCTGAAGGTGTTTATGTTATGTTACTACAGCAATATGGGCTGACTTGTATAATTATATACTTAATTCTAGATTCTCCTATTTTGAAGGCTAGCTAAATAAGTTCACCATTGTTTTAACCCCAGAGATCCATTCTCTATGAAAATGGGCACCTGGACCCATTTTCAGTGAAAGATGGAGGATGCTGGGTCTTGGCCATACTCCCTTCCTCCATACATCTGAGAATCAAACCTGAGTTTTTAAATCACCTTGCTTCATCCTCACCTCAGACCACTAGAGCCAGACCACTTGTCACCACCACCACCTGTCCCCTAGACTGGCATGCCTAAAAATCAAGAAACTTTCTTGTTCTCGAATGAGACCTTTGTCCTAATTATCTCTGGTCGCCTGATCTTGCAAGCTTTTCAAAAGAGAGAACCATAAGAGGGGGTAGAGGTGAGTTGAGGAAGGGAAATAGTAAGTTTTGAGGTCAAAGAAGAAAGTTGATACGCCTTAAACTAATAATAACATGGTTAACTTGTCCTACGTCGTGGGAGTTGAAACCACAAGCAGACGTCTTATCTGGTGTGTAAAAACTCCTTAGCTTGTCAACATCCTCAGGAAACATAATGAACCCTTAATACTTAAATACTATTTATCCTTTGGCGGTAGGTAATATATCATTTCCTTGGAGGGTAAATAAGCAACTTCCACAGTTACGGGGAAAGGTTAATTTTTTAACTTAATCCAGAGGAAGAAGGGAGGCTAAAGATGTGTGGCCTGCTTCCCCAGTTGTGGTTGTCTAACTGATTACACCCAACAACTCTCCCAGTGTTGGCTTAGGGTTCTCTCCCCCAAACCTAACACCACACGAAGTTTAAGGTCAGAAAATGGACTTTCCTCCCGTTCTAGGACAACATAATAGAAATATTTTCTGCTGATGGCTGCTTAGAAAGAACATCACTCTTTCCATTTATTTGCTGTGTGAGTTGTAACTCCTTGCGTAGATCTCTGGTTATGAGTGTGAGAATATAACTGCCATGTGAGAATTTACTCAAACCCCTGGATTCACGCTCAATATGTCCCTGGGTTCTGCGTTCTTAGCAAACAAAACTTCCTATTTAAGTAGGTCAAGAAATGGTTTTTGAGGGTTTTTGTGGCACTCTAGAAATCACGATGGTTACACAGGATCTCTTTGATCACAGGATATTTGTCCAGTGAGCTTTACTATGTCAATTTATCATCACTGTTTTGAACAAATTAATTATGTGGTGTAGTGTTATCCTGGAGACAAGCCATAAATGACGGAGAGGAGATAGATGAGTCATTGCTTTCCCTGAAAAGATATCCAAAAGTATTTAAAAGGTGTCATGCTTGAATGTGTAATTTGTGAAACGAAAACTCTATTTTAAAATTTCCATTTCTACCCATCATTTAAATACTTATTAGATTCTTACCTGTGAGTACACACATACTATGGGAAGTTTTTTCTATTAAGGCCACAACAATCGTAGGATGAGACACTACAAGATGTCTTTACTCATTTAAAAACATCAAATGTAAAATAAACTATACACAAAGTTAAGTTTCCAGTTAATAATTTATTTAAAATTTTAAATACCTTTGAACTAAATTTTAACTATCTTTGACCTCTATTTCCTGTGATGAAACTAGACTCGTTATCTTTGGTATTGCTATTAAGTATCATTACTGGCACAATTAGGCTGGCTCATGCTCTCCTTGAGTAACGAATTCCAGAGTGATCCTTCTCATTATCATCTCAGTAATTAAGCCAATAAATTAATTGAATAAACCTCATTGAGTGATTACTAAGCACCAATAAAGTGCTACTCTTCTTGTTGTTAGGTGAGGTAGAGTTAGTTCTGACTCATCATGACCTGATGTACAACAGAAAGAAACACTGTCCGGTCCTGCGCCATCCTCACAATTGTTGCTTGAGCCCGTTGTTGCAGCCACTGTGTCAATGCATCTCATTGAGGGTCTTCCTTGTTTTCGCTGACCCTCTACTTTACCAAGCCTGATGTCTTTCTCCAGGGACTGACCCCTCCTGATAACACAACCAAAGTATGTGAGATGAACTCTCGCCATCCTTGCTTTTAAGGAGCATTCTGGTCATACTTATTCAAAGAGAATTGTTCGTTCTTCTGGCAGTCCATATATTCAATATTCTTCACCAATACCATAATTCAAAGGCATCAATTCTTCTTCAGTCTTCCTTATTCATTGTCTAGCTTTTGCATGCACTTGAGATGATTGAAAACAGCATGTCTTAAAAGCAAAGATGAGAAGACAAGAAGGGAAAGGAAAACTGGATGAATGGAAACAGGGAAACTGGGGTGGAGAAGGGGAGAGTGTTGACACATCATGAGGGTGGCAACCAATATCACAAAACAATTTGTGTATTAACTGTTTAATGAGAAACTAATTTGCTCTGTAAATTTTCACTTAAATCACAATAAAAATATAAAAATATGCCATGGCTTGGGTTAGACAGCCTTAGTCCTCAAAGTGACATCTTTGCTTTTTAACACTTTAAAGAGGTCTTTTGCAGCAGATTTGCCCAATGCAGTACGTCGTTGTGTCTCCTGACTGCTGCTTCCATGGGCATTGATTGTGGATCCAAGTAAAATGAAATCCTTGACAACTTCAATCTTCTCTCCGTTTATCATGATGTTGCTTATTGGTCCAGTTGTGAGGATTTTTGTTTTTAAGTTGAGGTGAAATCCATACTGTAGTCTTTCATCTTCATCAGTAAGCGCTTCAAGTCCTCTTCTCTTTCAGCAAGTGTATCGTAGGTTACTAACGCGTCTTCCTCCAATCCTGATGCCGTATCCTTCTTCACGTAGCCCAGCTTTTTGGATTATATGCTTGTCATACAGACTGAATAACTGTGGTGAAAGGATACAACCCTGATGCACACTTTTCCTGATTTTAAACCATGCAGTATCCCCTTGTTCTGTCTGAACGATTGCCTCATGGTCTATGTACAGATTCCACACGAGCACAATGAAGTGTTCTGGAATCCCCATTCTTTGCAATGTTATCCGTAATTTGTTATGATTCACACAGTTGAATGCCTTTGCATAGTCACTAAAACACAGGTAAACAGCTTTCTGATATTCTCTGCTTTCAGCCAAGATCAATCTCACATTAGCAATGATATCCCTGTTCCATATCTTCTTCTGAGTCCAACTTGACTTTCTGGTAGTTTCCTGTCAATGTACTGCTGCAATCTTTTTTTTTAATTGTACTTTAGATGAAGGTTTACAGAGCAAACTAGTTTCTCATTAAACAATTAGTACACATATTGTTTTGTAACATTGATTGCCAACCCCACGACATGTCAACACTCTTCCCTTCTCAGCCTTGGGTTCCCCATTACCAGCTTTCTTGTCCCTTCCTGCCTTCTTGTCCTTGCCCCTGGTCTGGTGTGCCCCTTTACTCTCGTTTTGTTTTATTGGCCTGTCTATTCTTTGACTGAATGGTGAACCTCAGGAGTGACTTCAGTACTGAGTTAAAAGGGTGTCCGGAGGCCATACTCTAGGGGTTTCTCCAGTCTCTGTCAGACCAGTTAAGTCTGGTCTTTTTCTGTGTTAGAATTTTGTTCTACTTTTTTCTCCAGCTCTGTCCGGGACCCTCTATTGTGATCCCTGTCAGAGAAGTCAGAGGTGGTAGCCGGGCACCATATAGTTTGCTGCAACCTTGTCTGAATGATCTTCAGCAAAATTTTACTTTCGTGTAATATTAATGATACTGTTCAATAATTTCCACATTCTGTTGGATCACCTTTCTTTGGAATGGCCACAAATACGGATCTCTTCCAGTGAGTTGACGACGTAGCTCTCTTCCAAATTTCTTCGCATAGACGAGTGAGCACCTCCAGCCCTGCATCCGTTTGTTGAAATACCTCAATTGGTATCCCGTCAATTCCTGGAGCTTTGTTTTTCACCAATGCCATCGGTGCAGTTTGGCCTTCTTTCTTTAGTACCATCAGTTCTTGATCTTATGCTACCTCCTAAAATGATTGAATGCCAACCAATTTTTTTGGTACAGTGACTTCGTGTATTCCTTCCATCTTCTTTTGATGCTTCCTGCGTTGTTCAATATTTGCCCATAGAACCTTCAAAATTGCAACTTGAGGCTTGAATTTTTTCTCCAGTTGTTTCAGCTTGAGAAATGCCAAGCATGTTCTTCCTTTTTGGTTTTCTAACTCCAGGTCTTTGCACATTTCATTATAATACTTATCATGGATTGAATTGTGTCCCCCAAAAATGTCTGTCAACTTGGCTAGGACATGATTCCCAGTATTGTGTGGTGGTACACCATTTTGTGATTTGATGTGATTTTCCTACGTGTTGTAAATTCTGCCTCTACGATGTTAATGAGGCAGGATTAGAGACAGTTATGTTAATGAGACAGGACTCAATCTACATGGTTAGGTTTTGTCTTAAGGCAATCTCTCCTGAGACATAGAAGACAGAATCGAGCAGAGAGACAAGGGAACCTCATGCCATCAAGAAACAAGAGCCAGGAGAATAGCTCGTCCTTTGGACTGAGGGTCTCTGCACTGAAAATCTCCTCAACTGGGGTAGACTGATGACAAGGACTTTCCCCCAGAGCCAACAAAGAGAGAAAGCCTTCCCCTGAAGCTGGCACCCTGAATTGGGACTGCTAGCCTCCTACACTGTGAGAGAATAAATTTCTCTTGTTAAAGTCATTCACTTGTGGTATTTCTGTTACAGCAACACTAGGTGACTAAGACAATAATTTACTTTGTCTTCACGAGCTGCCCTTTGAAATTTTCTGTTCAGCTCTTTTACTTTCATCATTTTTTCCTTTCGCTTAAGCTACTCTATGTTCAAGGGCAAGTTTCAGTCTCTTCTGACATCAACTTTGGTCTTTTCTTTCTTTCCTGTCTTTTCAATGACATCTGGCTTTCTTCATGTATGATGTCCTTGATGTCATTCCACAGTTCCTCTGGTGTTCGGTCATTAGTGTTCAGTGGGTCAAATCTGTTCTTGAGATGGTCTCCAAACTCAGGTGGGATATACTTAAGGTCGTATTTTGGCTCTTGTGGACTTATTTTAATTTTCTTCAGCTTCAACTTGAACTTGCATATGAGCAATTGATGGTCTATTCCACACTTGGCCTCTGGCCTTGTTCTGACTGATATTGGTCTTCTCCATCGTCTCTTTCCACAGAAGTAGTTGATTTGATTCCTGTGTGTTCCATCCGGCAAGGTCTATGTATATAGTCGCCATTTATGTTGTTGAAAAAGGTATTTGCAACGAATAAGTTGCTGGTCTTCCAAAATTCTATCATATGATCTCCGGCGTTGTTTATCTCACCAAGGCCATATTTTCCAACTACCCGTCTTTCTTCTTCGTTTCCAACTTTTGCATTCCAGTCACCACTAATTATCTAGAAATGCAAAGAAGTGGGAGTCATAGACTGCCTTCAAGAAGTTTTCAGTAGAAAATGATCCTTGGCTGGATTCTGAGTAATGAGAAACCTGGTCTGTGATTATTGGGTGCTCCAATAAAAGGGAAGAGTAGGAAAGAGCAGAAAATTAAGCCTCATCCTTTTATATTTCAGGGTATTCTTTAATGTCTGACTGTATAAACCAAAAACTCAAACCCATTGTCATCAAGGTGATTCCAGCTCATGGTGACCCCATGTGTTACAGAGTAGAACTGCTCCATAGGGTTTTCTTGGCTGTAATTTTTATGGAAGATCTCCAGGCCTTTCTTCTGCAGCACTGCTGGGTGGGTTCCATCCACCAACCTTTAGGTTAGTAATCAAGCACAAACCCTTTGCACCACCTAGGGATGTAGGTTTTTATTCTTGGACATTGAATAACCTGCCAACGAAGTCTTACGATTACTCTCATAATCATATTCAGTTCTATCTTTACATAACTTCACATGAAGAAATACTGTGTTTATATGCATGTGTACATAGAGTAGTCTAATTGATCTTTTACGAAGTTAGCACGGGAGGAGGAGACTGCCAGAGTAGTGAAGGAACTTTGAGGAGCCATTTCACAGGAACCAAAAGGCAGAGCTGTTTTAAGGAGGAAGCGACTAAAATATCAAATGCTGCGGAGGTCAAGCTCAGCGGAGACTGAAAAGAGATCATGCGATATGTTAAATAGAAAGTCATTCATGACCTGAGTAACAGTGGTTTTGTGGGATTGCAGGGGCAGCATACTGACGGTTTTGGGTTCAAGAGTAAATGGGAGATGAAGAAATAGACAAGGATAATGGACTCTTAAAAAATTCGACTGCTAAGGAAAGGAGGTAGTCTGATGGGAGACAGAATTTGAGATTTGAGAAGGTGGGGTTTTTTTTTTGGGGGGGGGGTTGTGAGGAACTTGATCATATTAATATCCCCAAAGGAATGAACACGACAGTAAAGTATATGAAAGAGAGGAGCAGTATTTCATAGCAAAATGTTTTGCAAGGTGAGGTGGTAGTAATGGAATACAGAGCTACGAGGTGCCAATTAGGCCAGTTTCCCAAATATATTGTTGTTGTTAGTTGCCATCAAGTTGGCTTGGATTCATAGCAAGGTCATGAATAACGTTGTATAACATATACCTTGTGTATAACATGTAATGTTGCCTGGTTCTACACCATCTTTTTGATCATTGGTATGTTCAAGTCCATTGTTGTAGTTATTATATATTTTAAGTGCCTTCCAAACTAGAGGACTTATCTTCCAGCACTTTATCAGACACTGTTCTATTGTGATTCATAGAGTTTTCATTGACTAATTTTCAGAAGTAGATTGCAAGGCCTTTCTTCCTACTCTTAGTCTGGAAGCTCGGCTGAAACTTGTCCAACATGGGTGACCCTCCTGGTATTTGAAATACTGGTGACATAGCTTCCAGCATCATAGCAACATGCAAGCCACCACAGTACAACAAACTGACAGATGGGTAATGGTTCCCAAATATACTGATAGTTTATCAACTAAATACTTTGTGAAGAATTTTATGGGTTTTTTTTTTTTTTTTGCTTTGTTTTGTTTGTGACACCTAACTGATACATTTTGTTGCAGATCCACCAGATGTTCCTGCCAATGTAACTTGTGTCATTTATGAATATTCAGGCAACATGAGTTGTACCTGGAATATCGGGAAGCTCACCTACATAGACACAAAATATACGGTGCACGTGAAGAGGTAGGTTCTTTTCAGCAGTTTAACGCAAGCAATTGCACCTTAGTTCAGCCAGTGTTCCACATCAGCATAGATCCAAGAAATCAGCTTCAAACCATGAAACATATACCCTGATTATCTCCAGCCTCCTAAGTATCATTAGTGAAGCTACCAATGCCCTTCTGAGCCATTAATGTTTTCACTCTGTGGGACAATGCATTCTATATTATCTCTACCCTTCTTATCGTTGGTAGAGTCCCTAGGCGGCGCAGTTAAGTGTTAGAGTACCGTATTTTTAATGCAAATAATGTGCACCTTCTACGTTTGTTTGTTAACTGTGCTCTCCCTCCGTGAGGTATTTTCATAAGTCCTGCTATGCCAAATTTTTTTTACATATTGCTGTAATAAAAAATTAGCATAGCATGCTTAGGAAAATACTTTGCAAGGGAGTGTGAGGTGGGCAAGCAAATGTAGAAGGTGCACATGCTACTTGTGTAAAAATACAGTCCTAACCAAAAGGTTGGAGGTTCAAACCCACCCATGGTCATCTCAGAAGAAAGGCCTGGCAATATACTTCTGAAAAGTCAATCTTGGAAACCCTATGTAGTACAGTTCTTCTCGGACAGGCATGGGGTTGCCATGACTCAGAATCCACCGGACGGCAACTGGTCTGGTTTTTGGATTTATTATTGGTAGGTTAACTGGCAGGCAAGGGGCCTAATGGCTATACAGCACAGCACAGTCTTAAAAAGGACGTTAGCTTGAATCCCAGCTCAACCTCCTTCTAGTGTCTAGGCAACTTACGTTCTTTTATTTTTAAAGAGGGCTTAAAAATAGACTCTAATGCACAGGTTTGTTCTAATCATTTAAGTGGAATTTGACTTTTAAAGTGTATATCACAGTACTAGGTTCATAGTTAGCACTAAATTAATGGAAGCTATTGATTGTTAATAATCACCTCAAGTCTTAAATTTGGTGTCTATGTAGGCCTACCAACTGTCCTCAGATGCAGGACTTTTAGTTTTAAAACCAGAAAAGTCTTGGGCAAACTAGGACAAGTTGGTCACCCTATTTATGTCCATGTTTCTTATTTTGTTTAGTTCATTAAATTAAAAAAAAAGCCTCTGTAGTCTATTTGAAGCATACTTTTTTCCTGTTGGTAATTCCCAAATTTTTTCACAAACTATTTTAAAAATTCATTAATTGGGCTCTCTTACTGTTTGCCAAGCATTGGACCAAGAGTTTTCTATGTCTTACTTCATTTAACCACCCAATACAACCCTGTGAGAGAACATAAACTCCTCAGCAACAGGTTTAGACTAGTTAGATTTGTTCTTGCATCAAAACTTGACTAATTTGGGAGAGGAAGGAGAATAATATAAAGCCATGAAAATGAAGATTTCTTGGACAATGTAAAAAATAAATTTATTGGCGTTATTTTCAAGTAATAGAATAATTTTGGACTAAAGACTACCTAGAAAGACATGCTGAATGTGCTTTAATTAGATAAGTTTCATTTGCCAGCTATTCTATACATGCCAGTAGTTAATTCACTCATTCATTCAGCACTAGAATGTAAGCTCAATGACAGTGAGGATTTTTGTTTGTTTTGTTCACTGCTCTATGCTTTGAGCCTAGAATGGGGACTGGCACATAGTAAGTCCTCTGGAAATAATTGTTGGATAATTATTCTGATGACTAGAAACAGACCTTTCCTGCACTGTGTCTTCACAATAAATCCCAGCACCAGTTACTGTCAAGCTGATTCCATCTCATGGCAATACCCATGTGTGTCAGTTGAATTGTGCTCCATAGTTTTTAATGACTGATGTTTTGGAAGTAGATCACCAGAACTTTCTTGCAAGGAAACTCTAGGTGGACTTGAACCACCAACCTTTTGGTTAGCAGCTGAGTGCATTAACTATTTGCATGACCCAGGGCTTACAAGGTTGTACATAATTTAAAAATTGTTTTTCTCCACTGTCTTTCCTGAAATGTAACAATAAATTATAGCCAAACTGAGACTAACTTAAGCCAAATTCTGAATTAATGGAGTCCTGGTTAATGGCATTTTATTATATTTTAGAGGAGACATAAAAGATGTGAAGGTAGCATTAAAATGGATGTTCTCCCCTGGCAAATTCAAAGCATGAGCTCCCACAGCATAGGCAAATTGGAAAGGGAAATGAACATTGACTCATCTTACAAGGAAATAACAGTACATTTATGAGTTGAAAAAAATCAGAGAAGAGAAAGTTAAGTACTCTAACTACCAAAAAAGGTCTTTCCCTCCATGAAGGGGGTGACTTACAATAATGAATTTTGTGGTTGAGGTATCAAGCATCAGGTTTAAAGAAGCTCTTTTAGATCTTCGGTTATTAGGGTATTTTCCATGTTGGCTGATAGGTAGAGATTAGCATTTGCAAAGTTTCATTTCCAACTCACGTGGTTCTGTTTTCCAGTAAAATCACACACACACGCAGAGGTGATTTACCTCAGTCCACCCACTTGCTTCACCCATGGCAGTAAGATGCTGTTCCCTCATGGCAGCAAAGGAGACATCAGGGACCTCCTTCTGGCTCAGAGTTGAAGTTGTAAAGTAAGGGAGTTGTGTCTTTGTTGATTCAAGAGCTTCTCCTTTTTCTGTCCGGCACATTTGTGGTGGCTCCACCAGACAGAGTCGCACGGCCATTCACATACCCTTCTTGACTCCTCTGTATTTTTTTTTTTTTTTGTCAGTACACATGTTGTTTTATGACTTTGGTTAACAACCCCACGACATATCAACACTCTCCCTTCTTGACCTTGGAGGACCTTTTTTTTTCTTTTTTAGGTGAAAATACACATAGTCGAAGTTACAACATTTCAAAAGCTTCTACATGTACAATTCGGTGACATTGATTACATTCTTCTAGTTATGCTGCTATTCTCACTATCCTTGTCCAAATTATTCCATCACCATTATCTTCAACTTACTGTCCCCTAGGCTTCCCATCAAACCTTTTGAGTTGCTGTTGTCAATTTGATCTCACATAGATAATTCTTTTTTTTTTTTT